CTAGAAAATTATTAAAGTAATTAAGAAAGATAGAATTATCTAAGAAATACTTAAAAATTTAGTAGATAATAAACACCCTTACTATAGATAATAGAGGAATAATATATTTCTAAGGACTTATCTATATACTAAGTATATAAGAATTAAGATTATTATAAAATACTATAATAACCTAATATATAGCTATATAGGAATAGAAAAAATAGCTAAACCTATTTTAAGGAATTATTACTTTTTAAATATAAGAAGAAAAATATAGGATATATTTACTAATATAAGATTTATATTAGAGATAAACCTACTAGGCACTAGCCTTATAGTAAAATATAGTTATTAGAAGTACTAAAATAACTATAGAAATAGATAATAATTAACTTTATTAGACTACTACTAAAGTTAAAAGGGTATAAAAAATCTATCTATAACTATTATTAGGTAATAATAAATATAATAGTATTATAACTAGTAAGCTTACTTATAGGATATATAATTATTAATTATAGCATACTATAATATATTACTATAAATAGAGATAAGTTATTTATATTAAAATTTTAGTAGTTATTAATAGATTTAATAGGAATTAAGTAAAGACTTATAACTATATATTATCTATAAGCTAATAGATAAACTAAGTAAATAAATTAGATAGTTAAGTAATACTTATAATACTATATAAATTACTAGTAAGATAATTAGGTAACTTATCTACTAATAGTATAATTTATATATAATAATATTATTTATTTAATAATAGGGGAAATATTTTTCTTTATAAATTATAGATATAACCCTACACTACTCTAATTAGAGAACTATAGAATAAAGTACCTATAGTAGAAGAAGCTATAGAAATAATAGATATTATTAATTATTTAAAGACTTAACTTTTAAGGGATATTATATTTATAAACCTCTATATAGTAATTTACTATAATAGGAAGTATAGGAGTACTCTAGATCTAAAAAAGAGGAGAAAGATTTACCTACTTTATAAAAATATTAAAATAAAATAACTAAGTTAGAAATTAGACTATTAGAAAATTAGACTATTTAAGATTAAAGAAAAATTAAGACTAGTTAATTTTAGACTATAAGTACTAAAAAGTATATTAAAAATTTATCTAGTATTTTATATCTTATTATTAGAACTAGTACTAGAAAATATAGAAATTAATAATAATATAGAGTAAGAATATAAAGTTAAATAAATCCTAGATTATAAGAAAGTTAATAGAAAACTATACTACCTTATAAAATAGAAAGGTTATAATATAGAAATATAAAAGAGCCTATTAAGAACCTAATAAGCTATTATTAACTTATTTAATAATACTACTTAAAGAAAAATTAAAATTATTCTAAAAGATAGGAGGTATCTAATTAATCTCTATTATTATCTAATTAAAATTAGGATTATTAGAAGTTATAGCTAGTTATTAAACCTTAGTAGTAGGATTAGGCTAATTAGATAACTTCTTCTTATCTAAGATTTATAGTAGTTTAGTATTATATTCTAATATTTTAAAACTATACTCTTTAAGAAAATACTATTATTTTTAGAGGTGAGAATAATAAGCTAAGGTTATAATAATTTTTAATTAAATCTTAGCTAGGTAGGCCTAAAGCTACTCTAACTTAGGTTATAATAACTTAAATATAGTATTAGTCTTAGTAATATTATTAGCTATCTTATCCTCTACTTATTTTAAAATATCTTTTTCTTTTATAGTATAAAATTTCTTTTTATATAAATAACCCTAATAAGTGTAAGTAGTATACTTAGAATAATAATAAGTTTAATCTATTACATACTCTTAACCTAATAATAAACAACACTTATATAAAGAAGAAGAAATAAACCTATTATAATAAATATATTCTTCTTACTTAGTATGAATAGTAGGATAATTATAAGGAAGCTTATAAGGACTATTAGATAAAGTATTAGTATAATACTTTAGTATAATAGGTAGATATAATAAGAGAAATAGAAAAAATAAGGTATTACTCACCTAGGAAGGGCTGCCTTTTAAGTTTTAAGAATAAAAAATACTAGAAGAGAGGGAGATGATGTTATAATACTAATATAGCTATATTAGTATAAGGTAGATATGATAGGCAGAATTATAAGGATTACTAGTTACTAATTATTATTAGAAATAATCACTAAGTAATCTAGAGGAATACTTAATCTAGATAGACTTTTATAAGAAAGTTATATAGTAGGATATAACTAGATAGTTATTCTATAACTATAAATACATGATAAAGTAGTATATAAATAGTATACTAAGACTATAAAATAAGAGTATATGATTTACTATCTTTATACTTAGAATATACTATTTAGTATACTATTAAGAGGAAATATAAATATATAAGGATACTTACTACTATATATCTAATACTCTTAGTTTAATTTCTTATATTTAATAATAATTATTTACTTAAGTATAAGCTTACTAGTTTAATTTATTAATTACTCTTATACTATTAAGTATATATATTTAATGGGCCTTACTTCTATCTCTACTATTATTATTCTTATATTACTTTTGGATTATCCTTAATCCTAATTAGATTATTATACCACTATATTAGATATATACCTAGATAGTATATTATTAGGCTACCTGGTTAGTAGACCTTAGGCAAGTATTAGATATAGTCTAGGGACTATATCATCCCATTCCTAAAGTAGTTGACTAGTAGAGAACAGCAGAGACAGATCCCAGGGTGTGACAATTATATAATTACTTAATCTAGATATACTACTAGATAGAATATTTATTTATTATAGGGGCTATAGAGTCTAAATTATATAAGGGTAGGGGGTAGGCTAGTAGCTATCCTATATATATTATTCTAATATTAAAGGACCCTAGCCCCTTTTCATAATTCTACCTAGACTATAGAGGAATATAAAGATTAACATAAATATATATATATTAATAGCACCTACTAAATATCCCTTACATACTTTTATAGATTGAATTGACATCATACTGATTGATATCACGAAGATATGGATTTAATATTATCTATTTTATTATATTATAATTTATTTAAAGTTAAAATTAAAATTAGAATTATTAATAATTATTTAATTTAAATTTTATTTTAATAATATAAATTTACATTATTCTTTGTTTATTAGTTATATTATTAATTAATTTTTAGAAGACTTAAAATAGTCTATAATATCTATAATTATAATATTATATTATGGAAGAGTTAAGAGATATTTTATAATAAAATAATTATTACTTAAGACATCTAGATAATCTAAGAAGGTTAAAAATAAATAATCTATAGTAATTCTACTAGTTTAAAATAATTAATATAAGTATTTATTAAATCCCTATTATTAATAATACCCTTAATAATAAGAAGACTATACTTTCTAATATTATTATAATTTAAATCAAGTTCTTAATAAATATTTATATCTTTATAGGATTTAAGTATTATATAATTACTTAATCTAGATATACTACTAGATAGTATAATTATTACTATAATAGGTGTAGAGTCTTTAAATTATATAAGGATAAGAGGTAGGCTAGTAGCTACCCTATATATATGTCTTATTAATATTAAGGGATTCTAGCCTCTTTTATAATTTTATATAAGCTATAAAGGAATACAAGGGTCTATATAATTATATATATATTGTAGCGGGCAGGGCCTGCTGGGTGCTTGGGCTGTTCAATCAAATTATACAGCCCTCACAAAGTCACATCTAAACTAGACACCAGCTGCAGGTTACATGACCTTGTACTAATTAATATAATAATCTGCCTAGTTATATGACTATAAGAACTATTCACATACTCCTTTTTATATTTAGCTACTGCAGCCCTAGCTAGATTTCTTCCTTAGTAATTTCTTACTATCCAAACCTAGGTCATAGATTAAACTGGCTTCTAGCCTATGACATTAGAAATCACTCAGCACAACCAGACAAACTACACAAACTAGATGAACCAGACGAACCAGATGAACCAGATGAACCAGATGAACCAGACAAACCAGACAAACCAGATGAACCAGATAAACTAGATGAACTAGATAAACTAGATGGGTAATATAGACAGCATGAACTATAATAATGTATTATCATAGATGTTAATATCCCCTAAAGGACCTAGCAAAGAATAACTATTATAGTAGAATAATATGCAGATATAGAGTTGCATAACCGAACTGCAAAAATTGAACCCGAACCTCACCGAACTCGCAGCGGTTTGGGTTCGGTTCCTAGATTGAGAAACTGCACCAGGTTAGGGGCGGGTCAGGGTTAAACCACTAGAAACCATTTTGCTTAGTAATCACTAATTTCTAGGATTTCTCTAGAAATATTAATATCACTAGATAGCCTAGTATCTAGTCTATCTAAACATGAAATATCGATTGAAAATATCTAGTGGTTAGTAAGATATAAGGGAATAAGCATTTCTGTCATAGGTTGGTATGAAAGTAGTGGTGCTTTATATATATATGTAACCAACCCTTGACGACCACCATGTTTAAAAATGATTTTTTAACCACCACCTATTCAGCCCTATAGATATTGAATCAATATTTTAAATATAGATTAAAATGACTATAATTACCATATATTTCATATAAAAATATTAATTTTCTATAAGCATGTTTAATAGGCGCTGGGCATAGGCCTAAGGTAGGGGAAATTGAAATCTAAAAACCACTGAAATTTTTGATATTGCCTAGGCATACCGCCCGCCTAGGTAGGCTAGTGACTGCCTATCTAGGCCTAGCGGCGGGTTTTGCAGTGAAAATCACAACCCAAACCGGTTTGGTTGCGGGTTCTAAAATTTGAACCCGCCCGAACCCGCACCAAATGCAACTCTACTCTTGTAGACATCATTAAAGTCATCCATACTGATTGATATCATATATAGTAAGGATTAAGAGGGTGCTAATGAAAAGAGTATAATGTCATTTACCCTATATTAGAACCAATTGTCATATGCCTTGCACTACTTTTTGCTAGCCCTTGATGTGATATCAAATACACCAACATTGTTTACTTAGTACAGACACTATTCTGCCCATATATTGAACCGGCTTGAATCCTACTTAATCAGGCCAAGTATAGGTGAGTGATAAGGTATCTCCGGAGTATTTATGACTGTATTATCAATGTAATTTGCACATCAAGGTGTAAAGGGAGATCAACAACCAAACAACGTGGCCTTATTCCCCATACCTCTCAGCTCCTTATTAAGAGCCTACCTAGCTAGTGGCTCACTCCAAGCTAGTAATATAATCATTTAGTTGGCCCTACAGAATAGATACGAAGTTTAATTGCTTACGCCATCCTCCTACTACAGGGAACACACCACAGCGGATAAAATCACAATGGTAATCACAACGCCTAACTGGCCTGACCTGGAGCTGACCCGTCATTCCTTCTATAGGCTCAAACTCCCCAGCAGCGAAGAGCAAATGAGAGATATGCGAAGCATGAGGCTGCAAAACGAGGCAAAGGGCAGACCACAGCAAAACCAAAACAGAATTCAAAGTCCCCAGTGTCCACTGGATGGCTGGGTATGTACCACAGCAACTAGAAGCCATCTACGGGTATGACCAAATAGCTAAGACATCATAGTCATTCTTGCATTTGTTGTCTGCGGGGGAGTTGCATTCGAACTTCTGAGAGTCACTCCAGCGATATGGTCAGCTGCGACCACGATGCTAGGTCGCTTCATTGCCTAGGTAGCCGCTGTTAGCGATGCTGTAAAATACAGAGTGCTTTTCGAAGTATGCCACCTATTCGTGAACCTCAGCTTTCCAACATTTCGAAGCCACATCGAATTCATCTGTTGAATATTCGACTCTCAACGAATATCAAGCAGAAATGATACTCTCTTACGTACGTGAATATCTCTCACGCGCATATTACAATTATGCTGCTCCTTCCGAAGGGCTTCATGCATCCAAACCATAGACTCCAGGCTGTAAAACCGTCAAAGACAAACCGTCGCTATATGATCGATGCATATTCATCGGCGGATGCCACTATTCGATGAAAGTAGGATAGGTCACCTCACCCAAGGCTGCGCCGCACTGTTGCCTTCCGCTTCTGGAGAGGTTGCAGATAATCACATCCCGCGGGTACCATCCTTTTCCGCTTGAGTTGTATCCTGTAATACCTTGGCAGTCGCATGTCCCTTCACTTTGACCTTCTTGCTTCTCTTTTTCTTCCTCACAGGTGTACCCTCCATAGGTATGCCTTCCGGGTGAATTCGCTCCGATGCTCGCTGCATTTCCAACCGTAACCTCTCTACTTGTCGCATCGCTCTCGCCATCTCTGCGTCATCCTGAACGGTTTCGCCTAGATCAAGTGTGGAACTCGGGCTTCGATCTTCACCCTCCAAGGTAAGGAGCCCAAGGCTACTGGAATCAACTTGGAGGAGAGAACGCTTGCTTTTGTCAAGGTCATCTGCAGCTTTCGGCAAAACCGACTCATCCAATCCAATGGTTTCATCAGCAATGACAAGATGTTTTTTGGGGTGTTGACGTTTGCGGTGTCGAGTTTTGCTGTCTGACAGTGAAGCCGCACGTTGGTCTCCGAACGTATTCAAATCAAGGTTAATTATGGGGATAGAGTCGACATCCAAATCACCGTTGGGTGAGATGCTGTGGTCTCTGTCTGACGCACCAGAAGGACGATCTTCGGTAACTATATAGAAGGGATCCTCCCTGTTGCGTTCTTGGCGCTCGGACCTCCGCTTAATGGCGGCAGATAGGTCATTTGGTCGACCATCTGGAACCTGGTATGATGAATCTGGATATAGCTCGACCGTAGCAGACCCAATGGGCATGCCATGATCTTCGGAGGTGTCTGCGACACGGTAAAACTGTTGAGATGGATGCTGGCTGTCGATCTCGGGGTTCCAGTCCAATTCGCCGAGAAGTGTTGGGAATTCTTGATTGAAAGCTTCGTTCAGAATGAGACCCCCCGGGAAAGGGACCTTTTTCTGAGCACCGATAGCGACTGGGTTGAGTTCCAACCCAGAGAACAATCCGGGCATTATGGACGATAATAGAAAAGGCATTGCTTCCGAACCATGGCGCTCCGTAACTAGAGCATCAGCTGCCAAGCGTACCATTTCAAGAAATTCAATGGCTCTTTCCTGCACATCCAGATCAGGATGAACTGCCAGGGATTCGAAGAAATTGATAACTTGCGCAAACAGGAGTGATATCTCGCACACCGTTGCTGTGTTCCAATCTTGGTGTGGTTCATTGGCCACTTGTATGAGCACCTTAGGAACTGCCTGAACGTAGAGAGACAATGCCTTAGCTGGAAGTGACTTGTTCGAAATGTCGATCAGTGACTGGAGCGTTCGACGAGGGTTACAAAGACAGCCCGAATACTCGCCCACTACCCAAGCTAGGGACCCAAGGGCGTGGCTATCGGTATGAGGTTGAAGGAACAATGCATGTCGGTTCTCAACGGAAATCAGAAGTTCTGCCGCTCTTGTGGCCTGCAGTCGGACTCCTTTGACACGGACGGCGACATTGCGTATTTCCGAACAGATCCGGGACATTATATCGTCTCCACGATCGTCTTCCAGCGCCCGAATAGCTCGCGGAAAACGAAGTTGTTTAGTTTGCCGTGGTCGGAGCTTCATCAACTCTACCAAAAGGTCGACATACCATTCAAAGTCGTACAAGTCCGAATAGTTGTTGAAGGAGCATATGTCAAGTATCCGATGTATCACGTCGATTCTATAGCTCGCAGGCAAAGTAACGGGTCCTTTTTGATTGTTCAAGTTCTCTGTTGCTGCGGAATGTCTCGACTCAACAGGATCAAACGTCGTAGCATCCTGAAGCTGCTTGAGTAACCGATCGACCACGGACTGGAGTGTGTCGCTTGTGACCATCCTGGCTGCAAGCTCCAGGGCTTGAATTCGTATCGAGACATCGGCATCCTCCAAACAATCCATGATGACATCACAGTGGACTGATACTAACGCAGGATGTGAGAGCAGGATTCGATTGAACGCCAATAACGCGACATATTTGACTACAAATCATTTTTAGTATTCACACTTACTGTTCAGAAAGAAACTTACGGTTTGGGTCGGAATTGGCGACAATCATTCCTCGAAGTTTCCCGACGCAGAGACTTGCGACTTCATCCCTCTCTTCAAGTGCTTCGTCGCCATCGAGTATGCCTCCTTGAATGACGCCATTGATACATTCGTATAGCAGTGACATGGCGGTCGTCGTTTCAATTATGTTCATCAGAGGTCCAGTGAGTTTCCGAATTAGTCTAGGTTCTAAGGGTGTCAAAGTCGCAAACTTGTCTCGTTAGAAGCGTATATCCTGCGAAAAGGGAACACCATACCAGCTTGATTATCTTGATAGCCATCCAATTATTCCCCCCATCGACTAATAATTCAAAAAGCCTCGGGGCAAGTGGAAGAAAATCACGCGGCCTTCTCCATCCAAGCTCACATATGACGTTGATCACGGCCGTAGTTACACTACCTTCCTCTTCATCGTCCATGAGGCGCTCCCTTAGTTTCGGCCATGCAAACTTGAGCGCCTCGGGATAAACCAAAGCAAGTCTGTAGAGACACACAACTGCCTTTTTGCGCACAACCCCGCGCGAGTGAGAAATCCGAGATAGAACGTCAGGGAGCAATGACATAGCAAGCGAAGGAGTGATAATGTGCGGTAATGTGGTCAGTGGTAAGGACAGGTTCGGAGTACTTGATGATATGAGATCCTATTCCAGCGTCAGAGAAGTTTTTTAAGACGGAACTTGGGACTTCAAAGACCTTCTTCAATAGATTCGTTGCCAGCATCAATACGTCAGTATCGGGTCTAAAGCTTTGAACTGCCCCAAGGTAGCCAGCTCTCTTCTGCAGATATCTCGAAGATGACATGACTTCCAGGACATGAAAGGATGCCCATGACATATCATACCCAAACATCTCCAGATAAACTATTTTCAAGAGTGCAGTAGCTTTTTTATCTGGAATATATTAGCGGGCTACTTGCCGTACCTTGAAGGCGAATGTGAAGTTCGGATATGCATACCCATATCTTGAGACTTGATCTCTGTCCTACATTCTCGAAGACTCTCCTGTATAAACTCATCTTCTGCCCCTTTATGATTCCTTAGGCCTTTGATCAGGTCGTAGAGTGATTTCTCGAACCTAGTTACTTCTAGTCAGTGGGAAGTTACACCGGCTCAGCAATCGACCCTACATTTTAAAAGATTGAATGAAGGTATTTGCGACGCTTTGTCTCATGAGAGATCAGGTAGATATGCCATCTGGCTTCAAAGGCCGCAGATCACTGAATATAGATCTAAGAAAATATAAAAATTAATTCTCAAAATATGGCATGATTCTGATATTCTTTGTCATGTGGGGTATATGTAGATAAAGTACTATGATGGATGGTTAAAGTCACGGGAATCTGAAATAGTCTAATATTAATTGCTAGTACCTCTCTATCGAGTATAGAATACCCCATATTTTAGCTCTATAGCGTCACTTTGATAAGCACAGATCCGCCCTAGACAGACAATTTCTCCTGACTTCTGTGAGATCCACTTAAATACAGTTCCTGCTTTGGTTTTCCCGACAGACATTCATTTTACTTGAATAATACAGGTTGACACCAACGTTTGCCAAACAATGAGTCGTACAACTCCAGAACTCCATGCTATTCATGGCTCGAATTTGTTCTCTAGCCTTCATCTGTCACAACAGGCACCGTTGATCCTCAGCCGACGCCTCACATCGGAGACCAATTTAAAGTCCACATTGCTGTTCTCGCCGGAAAAGTTTGAGGAATACAGGGAGATCGAACAGCTTTTATTAGCTTGTTTACAGACTGGAGATGACAGATCAGCACTATCCTGTCTCAATCAACTCGAACAGCGCTTCGGGGCTTCAAATGAGAGGGTCCTTGGGCTACGCGGCATATACGAAGAGGCCGTTGCAGAGGATCGATCTTCCCTGGAATCCTGCTTACGGAAATATGACACCTTACTGCTGGAGAACCCGGCCAACATGGTCTGTAATGGTCTTATTAGCTAGAATTATCCGCTAATTCATATTTGATAGCCTGTTCTAAAGCGGCGTGTTGCGCTTCTGCGTGCATTGTCTCGGCACACAGACGCTATACACAGCCTAATAGATCTGCTGAAAGCTGCCCCTACGGATGCGGAAGCTTGGTGCGAACTCTCAGATCTATATAAGTCTCAAGGAATGGGACTCCAGGCAATCTTCTGCCTTGAGGAAGCATTATTGATTGCACCAAACGCGTGGAATGTAACTACTTCAGAGCACATCACCGTCCACCAGTAGAGAGACTAACGATTCTTTCGTTGTTCCGGATCAGATTCATGCTCGTCTCGGTGAGCTTCAATACCTCGTCGCTGGGTCTTCCGACCCAGAGCAATCATATCACCTATTGCGCGGGTCGATCCGTTCTTTCAGCAGAAGTATTGAACTCTGCGATGATTATCTGAGGGGTTTCTATGGCTTGGCTTCAGTGAGTGCCGTCATGTTCCCTACAACACGGCTTTTACCACAAAACTAATCTAAATATCGAAGGCCTCTGCGATCTTGCTCAAAGGTGAAGGGTATCGAACTTACCTGCAGGATTCTTCATTGTCGCAAGCAGACGATTCACTCTCAGTAGTGCTGCTCGAGAAGCTGAATGCCTTTGCCAAAACTAGGATCGAGGGTATCGTGAAAGAACGGTCCCAGGGGCGCATTCATTCTGAATACAGCCAAGGCGAGCTCATCGCAGCGAAGGAGCTTCTCAATCGTCTCAATGTATCCGACTAAAACTATTCCCCATCGCTGATTTATTGAATTTCCTGTATCATCTGTTCTCATAATTGAGTGCTTCTTGTGTTGGATCTGGAACTACTCTCTCATTACTTATCTGATTACGCCGAAGGCTTATTCTCTCACGGTCTGAAGCAGCGTTCTATTGAATATTCAAGGACCTTGCATTGCTAGATGAAGTACATGTTAGTCTTTCAAACATGATCGAACGATGAGTATACATGAGCTAATCCAAGCACAGTACCTATAATCCGGTTAAGGGAGCACACCAATTTTTTGTACCCCTCATAGTATCAACTTTAAATAGGCATGACCCACTTACGTCATGGTCCTAAGGTAGATAAGTGAAAGACTTACAAATAGGTATTCCTGTGTCACAACCCCTTTCTAGACCTAGGATAATTTTGATGACAGTGTCTGGGGTCGATATTCAGTGTAGGTATTTCCTATTCGTGTCTCGATCTCCGTATGTATTACGGAGTATGCCTCGGTACATTTCTCCCAACTATGAAGCCATTTCATGAGAAGACATACATTTTTGGCATTATTACTCAGCGTACCTCTGTACAGTAGAGAGGTAAGGTAGGTACCTTTAGGTTTCTTTTCCAACCTGAAGGCCATTTATTGGCTAATCATGGGAGGCTGAAGGCCTAGGCTTGAACCTGAAGGCAGAATTTATCGTGTTAGTAAGAATAAATTCCTCAATTGGGCATTCAGGCAGCACAAGGTATTCGCAGGGTGCCTGGGAGGGTATGAATCAAGTTGCCAACTCAGTGCCTAACGAGACTGCGCATCAAAACATACCTTACCCTACCTAGTAAAATGGGGGGAAAAATGGTAAATTTTTCGTCCTCGGTATACTAAAATGCCCAAACTCCGCCTCAAACATATCTGGTCAGGCACCTTCCCACATTTGGGTTCTCTTCTCCTGGTGTCATCGCCGATCCCCAAACCACTGTACTGGCTTAAATTCTTCTATTCTTTCCCACTGTGATCAGATACATATGGGAAACTGAGCCATAGCTTCGATCTGAAAGAGTTTGCTCATTACATTTCACCAAGCTTCAGCTAGGCTGCGTATTATTGCCAAACCTGGAAACTGCGTTTCAAGAATGAGTGCCACTTTACTTCAGAGATTGAAGAACCCGTGAATTGGATATGAATTATCAGCATCACCTTTTCGTTGGATGTGCTCACTAACTCTGTCTCTCTCCGAACATTTTCAAAGAGTATCTTCGACCCAAGTCTGCTCGCTATTCTGGATGGTCATCTTTATGTCGCTCGGAACCGACTCAAGAATGACTTTTTCATAATCACTTCTCGAAATCTATTACAATCCAATTCTTTCTCAAACATTATTGACTGATATCTATGACGTACGTTCTGACGGCTCGACCCAAGAACGGCTTGGCATTGTTTTGACTAAACATACATAAGCAGGTTCAATATTACCATTGACCCTAGTCGACGCGGCTCGGACTCATCCCTATCTGACGAGGAAGACTCGTCAGGAGTTCAAGTTTCGCCGCCCTCTGAGTCCGGAAGCCATGAATATCATGACCCTTATGATGAGTGGGCTCACTTACCATATCCGGACGAACTGAAGCCATCTGATTCGGCGTCCCGGCCCAGAGCGTCCATTCGCACGCGAAACCGCAATCCGACCCATGGCTCATCATCGGGCCCGAGCCGCCGTCACTCTGCAAGACGTCATGTTATGCCGGAACGGGAGTCATTTGTCCGTCGATCCCGCCGTCAGCCTTCCCCCGACTCCCCAGAGAGTATGGATTCCGCTGAGGAATATGCGACTCCGTATGGTCGCACATCCCACGAGAGAAGGCTCTGGCCGCCCATGGCTCAAGGCTCAAACTACGCACATAGCACATCACCGGGGCCATCCTATATGTATCCGAACAGCGGCATATCACCCGGCGCTTTTCCGCATTCTGGTCTTCATCCGCCATCAGATCAACTTGTTAGATTGAGTCACCATCAGACGGGTCATTCGGCAGCTTACAGCCATCCTATGTATGGGTACGGCCCTCAATATCAACGTCCCCATGGGCCCCCAATGCCGGCATTCTTCATGCACGAGCATCATCCTGGCCACCATATGCCGCAAGTACACCCTTCTAGCCAAGGCAGAAATGATGGGCATAGCCCACCACAGCAATCAACACCACATGCAGTTCCACCACATGGCCCATCACACTATGGTGGAAACCCATTAGGCCCTCACGAACTTATTCCATACGGCCCGGGAGGTTATTTCCCATTCAGAGAACCCTACGCCATGGTGCCTGGAATGGTCCCCCGCCCTACCTCAACACCTACCCCCGCGTACCATCTCCCAGTCAGGGGGAATCAAGTCCATCTCCAGTTCCTGCCGCTGCAGAAGTTGCTAAGGATGAGGCAATTGCAAGGCTAGAGAAGCTGATCCTAGAAGAAAGGACGGAACGCGAAGCGAAAGAGGCGCGAGAGGCTGCGCTTCGAGCTGCAATTGAAAAAGAAGCCGCCGAGCAAGCTGCCCGAGAAGAGCGTGCTGCGCATGAAAAGAAAATCGTCGAGGAAGCCGCCGCTGCCGCTCGAGCGGAGGCGGAACAGAAGGCTGCTGAAGAGGCCGCGAAAGCGAAAAAGGAAGCCGAAGAGGCCGCTGCGGCCGCTAGAGCGGAGGCGGAACAGAAGGCTGCTGAAGAGGCCGCAAAATTGAAGAAGGAGGCCGAAGAAGCTGTTGCCGCCGCTACAGCCGCAGCAAACAAGGGCCCAGAAAAAAAGAAACCTATCAAATTCAAAGATGCTGTCGGGAGGAAGTTCAGCTTTCCTTTTGATTTGTGCTGCACATGGCAGGTATGATCCCCTCTTGGCCTCGCGCAAATGCTCTTTTCTAAAACCATGAGTCTAGGGAATGGAAGAACTTATTCGACAGGCTTTCCTCCACATTGAAGTAATAGGGCCTCATGTTGCAGAAGGTCATTATGATCTAGTAGGGCCAAATGGTGATATCATTCTCCCACAAGTCTGGGAAACCGTCATTGAACCGGACTGGACCATTACCATGCACATGTGGCCCATACCAGAGAAGCCGAAGAGTCCTGATCCTGCAGAGGGGGGTACTGTCCCGGAAGGACAAGCAACTGCGGAAACCGCTCCAGGATCTGCTGATAGCGCAGTCATCGTTGCCCCCGATGATTCGAAGAAAAAATCCGAGCCGGCAGCAGGTATGTTCAGATCTCTTTCCATATCAACTCTTGTGGTAGTCTTGTCGAGGCCTCCCTTCCCCCTCAACCCCCCACTTTACTTTTTTTTTCCCCTTTTCTTTCCCCTCTCCCCTCCCCCCCAACCCCCTTATGCTGGACCAGTTAATTCAGATTTGCTACAATGGTGCATTTGTTCTCTCCAAGCATTAACCTAGCATTCGACCTTAGGTGCAAAGAAACCACGTGCGAAGGGGCCCGACCCCGGCGCTTTTGCCATGTGGATGGTGGGTAGCAATCGTTTGAGATTGAACAAGGCTTTAAAAGCGGGAAAAAAGCCTAAAGCATTCCAACATCACGGTAGCTCTTGCCGTGTTATGTGATAGGGTCGTATCCTAGGCGGTTGGCTGGCAGCTATCTCTGGCCATATGCATTCACTGTTAAAAGAACAGACTCACTGCTTGGATCGCAGTCATGGCTCGTTCTCTGCCGAATCTGTGCTCGGCAGGTTCTCGTCAGCCAGGCAGCCCAACGACATACTGGGATATAGGCTGGCCCTATCATGGTCTGCTTTAGAGGGGCATGGCTTTTCCTCTCGACAAGCTCGGGATTGGTTTCTCATGCCTCGGTGGTTGGAGTTGGTAGTATTTTATGATATGTTGAGTTATGTAAAGATCAAGCATTGGATTATGGTGACATTTCATACTTTTCCTGGCCAGGGGTGGAAGTTTCTGGAATAATATCTGTCTGTATCAGTGAGGAAATGTGTGCTGGATTATGTGCACTGGAGTTTCTTATATACCCATAGAACATGACTCCCAATATTTTTAAGACTGTACTTTAATTGACTCCTGGTCCATTGACATCGAGCTTTTCAGTTATAAAACAGGTTACATGGTGATCGCAAGCTTCTAGCAAAGGAATGGTGTATAGCTCCTGTTCCAGGATGCTTAATTCCTCTGTTAGAACTGATATAGAAGCCCATATATACTGGGTTAGGACAGGCAGTCAGTAATAGAGAAGTGAGTAAGGGCATAAGGACATAGGCCAATGTATGTGCGTACAAGCATGGCTCGATAGTAGGTATCACAAAAGCTGGATGAACAATGTATCATTTTGGTAACAAAGGCTCCCACTTGATATCTGAATTTACTTCACCATCAAGTAGGTCCTCGGTGATGTCTGTATGACGCTCAAATCCATCAAAGTGCCTGGATCCAGCGTTTAGAGAGTCTTGACTACCTGGAATCCTGCGTTCAGCAGGTGGAGTTCTAATTTGGTCGTTCAAATTGAACCTCGGAACGTCAAGTCGATTACTTGGCTGAGACGCAACGCTCTCCGGTACTTTCATAACGGACTGCCATCCAGCTTGGCCAGACAAGGCCTTATGATCGTTGCTTAAAGCAACAGGTTTCCGAGGGATTGGTGGTGCTTTTTTGGCTCCATTTGCTCTGGAACATCGCATGTCAGCGTCTTGGATCAAATCCGATGAATTCGCAGCTCCCTTCCCACCACGTGGGGGCAATGGAGGCTTGTATGTGACGGAATCTATGTTATCCACCACGGCCTTTTGACTGTCCGTTAATCTTCTTGCAGGTACCCAATCAGTGGCATTACTTGAAGAAAATGGGTTGGACTCGCGATTCATGTTCAGTGACCATCTATTTGAAGGCGGCTGTACAATTGATTTCACCGGCATACCTGCCACGTATGAGTGTTAGAATAGCCAGACACGAAGATATTTTCTGGGAACCGATTCAAGATTGGGGAAGTCATACCATTGTCCAACCACCATCTCCGATCGTCTGAGCTCGCTGGTGGAAGGTCAAGTGTAAGAAAGTCCAGTTCAGCTGACTCTCGCTTACGCATTTTTGCTTGGGTCTTCGACCTTGCCGGTGTCTCGGGTGCATCCCCTATCTCCATTGCATAGATTATGCTCCTGATATTTTCCCTTAGGTGATCATCAACAAGATTGATGTCACAGGAAAAAAGTGCCCACACGGGGCGATGATCTGAGCATTGTAAACAGGCAGAGTCGTAATGCAGCTGATGTATATTTGATCCTTTCCACAGAATTCTATCGCACCATGCAGGGATGCGCGACTTTTCGCTGCTGAGTATTAGTCTGTCGTTAAATAAAGAAGTGTGTCGAAGAAACAGTGTATTATCTTACGATGTGTCGTAATAATTTGTGCCAACGTCATATTTATAAGTCGGTGGGAATGTAATGAGCCCCTCTCTGTAGAATTGGAACACATTGCCCGCCATCATTTGCAGGTTTAGCTTCAGCTTGAATTAGCGCATAGACCTTCCCTTGAGTGAATCACAGTACCTGATCATTGTCGTGCAACTTCTGGTAGTTGCGTTGCGTTGCCAGGTCTCTGACGGTCTGATTACTGAGACCTATTCGGTAGTTGAAATCACCAACCCAGATGATAGTGTCATGATCGTCAATCGTTCTGTTTTTCAGGAACCTGAGACCTCGACAGATAGTTTCATAGTCCTTATTTCTCTCTTCATAGTTCGCGAATCCAGCTGCAAGGTGAGCAGTCACAAAGCATATTCGAGTCTTTGAATATTCAAAGCGGATAGCACAGCCTCCTTTGTTACCGCTGATCCCCGAGAGACCTGTCTTTCTAATCGTTAGATACTCATAACGAAGCAACACTTCTTGCACTGGACACTCACTTTCCTGACACTGCCTTCAACATTCTTTATGTCTCTGAGTATATCTTCTTTCACAAATATCATAAGAGCTGCTCCAACCAGCTGTCCACTCCGCAAAAGAACGTACTTTGCACTCCCCATCTTCTCAGCACGATTGTTGAGACAATTTCTGACAGCAGCTTCCCACACTTTGCGAGGAGTGGGGTCGGTAGACATGATTTGTTGTGGATTTAGTGCAACAATTTCTTGAAAACCAACAGCAAAGATGCTTGGATCTTCGCCCCCCTGATCGGGAAGAGGAAAGAGCCAGGGTGTTAAATCATTATCGGGGCCCTCATGGCGTCCATTCACGTTAAACGTTCCGGTCCAGATCAGGACCGATTTCTCGTAAGAATACTCAGATGCTCGCTGAGCGAGTTTCTCGGAGACTATATCATTTATCGGATCGAAGAGCTGTACTGGGGCTTGGTTTGTTAGACGTCCTAGTAGTAAATCTATTGTCCTTTGCCGAGCTTTGTCGGAGAAGTTGTTCACGTATAGCCGTGTGGCGGTTTTGCGTGCATCTGCAAGGGCACCAGCGAGAGACATTCTTCCATGTCGCGTGAACGAGCTTTTCAGCGCACCAGTACCAGCGTAGATTCGCGATAGAGCATCCCCGTTGTCGGCCCAAAGGGTTGAGTGTCTGAGCCGAAGTTCGGGATCAATGTGAGCTCCCTGTTGACGAAAGAAAAATTCAAGGGCCATCATGCTAATGATCGTCTGTACAAGGTTGGTTCTGTCAAGGCAATCTAGACAATTCGTCCGAAAAATACCTTCTTGTTGCAGAACGACGGATGAGGCTTTTGCCTCATTACCATAGCAAGTGCTCTCTGACAAGAAGTATCCAAAACCATCCACAGAATGCAAAATAACGTCCTTGATTTGATCACTAGCTCCATAACCTAGCGGACCGCGGGCCTCCGCATGAAAATCGAATTCCGTCATTTCAAGTAACATATGGTTGGAGGAGGCATGAGCGTTAGCCTTCTGGTTAAGTGGACTTCTGCTGACCAATTCTTGAAACCTCGTTGAAAGCTCGACTTCTCCGGGTTTCAGAGCGCTCAGGAGATTAACGACATGTACAGCGCCGTATCGTGATTCAAGACTTTCGAAGTGTTTGTCGAAGGCGTGTTTGGTTGCCTCGCGCGACCTGATCACCTCAATCTTCTGCTGGCCAGGGAAGAAGCCAGGTGCTTGTTCCCAAAAAAGGGGCACAGAACCACGAATCTGGACGTATGAGAAAGTGAGGCCGGGATGAATCCAGAGAACAGTTTCCGTTTCCACAAAATTCGCAACGTTTCCGTCATCGTCAATGCCCCTAGCGTTGAATCTCGTACCTGCCCGTCGAGATGACTGGCGTGATATAACAGTCAATGTTGATGGCAAGCGCGTTGGCGCTTGCGGAACTATCGGTCTAGAAGTGGGAATGGTCAAAGTGCTACAGAATCCTCGTATTACATATGTCAACATTCGAGACGTGTCGAGGTGCAGTTTCTCAAGGGGAGACAAGTGGCTTCTGAGGAGAAGAAGAGGGTTAATCATGTATGAGTTCCACAGCATGTCCTCATCCAAAGAGCCCATGTCGAACGCATCAGCTTTGTCCGAGCTGACAATATGTCAGCAATCACTGTATATCTATGGGTTAGGCATTCTATTGGCTTACCGGTTCTGCAGCCGATCAGTGAGATCGAAATCTAGACTATAGTAGAAACTGCCATCACTCAGGAGCTTCTTCAACGCTAAGAATGGGTGATCAGTGACAATTTCTTTATTTTCACCCCGGTTGGGTTCTTCAGCGGCAAACTCGGACTCGGACTCATAATTAAGACCATCTTCATAGTTTGAATGATTGAGACAAACTGCTTTGGTCAGACAAAATAAGACAAACGAGAGAGTGGGAGCTATTACGAAAGTGCACATTGTCAATTCGCCATACAGCTTCGCCAGGCCTCACTGTTGCGGCCTTAGAGGCACCAGTCACCACACACAAGAACACGTCTCCGTCCAGAGCGATTAACCCAAGCGTACCGTGCCCATCGCATAGACAGCGGTAACCTGTTAAGTCCACGGAAGACAAACTGCAAAATTCAACCAAGCAATGGATAGTGTCTCGTTCGTTCTTTCCTGTACTGTGGTCCACTTCTGCTGCGATGGCTTTAAAGACCAAAGCGTTGTCAGTAGTGGCCAAAATCAGAGTACGCTGAGGGTAGTCTCTGCAGAAGACTCGCAAAACAGGCATTCTTCGACAAGATATCAGATTTTGATTCTCATGATGGTATATATGAAGTGTTTAGAGGATTTCCGAAGGGATTAATCTCACAGCTCAGACCCAGTTTGAGAGGGGACTGACTCAGTGACTTAAGTGATTAACAACACATTATAATGCTTGAGTATTAGTTAGATAAAAGAGTCAATATTAGTATTTGGGAATAATATATTATTCTCAGTAAGTTGAGTGTTATTATTCGTGATGAATATGGAAGGTCATTACGATTTTGGAAGAATTAGGCCATCGCCAAGGCCCTAAAGGAGACTCATACTTGGGGGAACCCTATATTATGGTTGTAGTGTTATCTACTACAATGTTATTTTATCACTACAGAGATAACAGATACATAAGTATACCTTAGGTATGGAGCATTCTATTTGTTCCTAGGAGTACATAAGTACCTAGGTATCAGATGTATCCAAGGGGGTGTCCAGGAAAATAAGCATAATTTAATAACTGACTCAGGTACCGGAGGTACCATGTCTGAGAAAATAATTTTTCCGCTCTCTTTCAAGTCAAAAAGGAAAAGATGCCTACAACGGCTACTCATTTTAGATACCCTTGCCACACTCCTGCTTTACTTTCCATCCTCTCTCTCTCGGTCTTGTTTTATTTTCTTTTGATTTTCCCAGAGTAATACTTTAGAAGCAGTTTCTTGGTCTAGACTTCAAGTCTCCGTCACGTCGACACTATATCTCCATCTTCTCTATCTCCGCTCAAAAATTCTTTTCGCTCCTATCGCAAATGGGCCTGGCGGCGCCTCGCAAGTAAATTTTCAAAATAATGTCACTGCGATAAGTCACTGACCAAAATATGCAGAAAAACCAAAATCTCGCATGATCCCAACAACACCTCTTGGTCACGATCTACGGATGGTTTTGGACACAGGATTCTCAAAGCCCAGGGCTGGACTCCCGGTGGCTTCCTCGGCGCCCGAAATGCCACTCACTCTGATCTATTCACTACGGCTAGCGCATCACATATAAGAGTTGTCTTGAAGGATGACACATTAGGCCTGGGAGCTCGGCCAAAGAGGGATCTTTTGGATGGACCCACTGGCCTGGACGCATTCAAAGGATTACTCGGCCGGCTCAATGGTAAATCTGATACACAACTTGAAGCGGAGCAGCAAAAGCGGGATGATGATAAATTGGCTCGATATGCTGCAACGAAGTGGCAGACTGTCAGATTCATAAGTGGCGGACTTCTTGCGCAGGAGAAGGATAATGCTACGGCCTCCAAGGCTTCTCAGGATCTTCGCGTTGACTTTCCACGGAAGACCTCTTCCCATGAAAGTGAAAACGGCATGTTTAAGATGGAGCCCATGGATAGCGACTCACAACAGGAAGGCTGTGCCATGACCAAGGAGGAGGAGGGAAGAAGAAGAAGAAAAAGAAGAACGAGAAGGGGAAGGAGCTGGACATGAGTTCCAGAAAATCCCGCGAAAAGAAACAAGAGAAGAGACAGAAGAAAAGGAAACTTAGTGACTGTGACGGGCTCGACGCGGAAACAGCGGACAAAACCTCTACAAAAGTCCTTGTAGCAGTCGCGAACGATAAAGGTACATGTCTGCTGGCCTCGAATGGTCCATCAACATCGAGGGAACGCCAACCTATGGGAAGACGGATCTTTCGAAGCCGCCATATTGAACAAAAGAAAAGAGCCCTCATGGACGATAAATCTCTCAATGAGGTATTTATTATCCTTTCCTGTTAGCAATCCTTTTCATGTTAAACAAAGGCTAACTGGCACAGATATTCATGATCAAAACGTAATAATAAATATTCACCGGTTGGCCCATGTCAAACTACCTAGACACCTGTGCTCAAAGAATCATGTCTACATCTTGAAAGAATATTATTACTGTCTCGTATTCCCCATAGTAACTTACAGATCGCGAATCAGCAATGATCTGATAGGCTGATGCTATTAGGTAATTGACTTGCGTCCGGTCGTGGGCACAATGTTTCAATTAATTTACCATCACGTGCCTTCCAGATCGTTTCTTTACATTGATGTCGCGGCGGGCCAAGCCGAGGCTATACCAGGTATTGATTTCCTAGACATTTGGAGGTATTCAGATGTATGATCGGAGCCCGATGCCTCGAAAGACTTATTCGCAATTCACTTAGCTGAAAGAAACATAAGTGTGCCATTCAAGCAGGATAGTAGCAAAGATGGTATTATTAATGTTTTAACGTTCGAACTTTGAAGTAACCCGACCGTCGGGTTGATACCTGGTAGATTCAGAGATGGCCATTCTTGATCCCCACTTTCCCCAAGTAAGTACCTAGGAGTGTATCTATGGAGTACATAAATTGGTTGGCAGGTACCAGAGGTACGGAACATAACCTTACGCTCTCAACTTCCAAGTCCTCAAGGTACTATCAGCAAAATACCAAATCAATATGAACATATAAACACAGAGTACACCCGCTCAATAGTCAATACTCTTGATGCAAAACTGACCCGCCTTCAGACGTCATACTACTCATACGGGATTCCACTGCGCACGGCGACCTGGGTTAGATCGAAGTTCCAAATCATCTGCCACTCTGCAGAGTGATCAATTCTTTGATCATCTGAGGAAAGGAATCGACAGTGTATTTGCCGAAGTGGAATACAAATCGATACCAGATTTCCAGTTCAGCTAGGACTTGAGATTAGGCGGCAGAATTACCCTTGCTGAAGATTGCCGATATCGAGCCAGTCAGTCTACTTCAGAGTAGATTCCTGTCTATCTTTTGCACTCGTGGGTTGTTTGCACTTCTTCTTGGTCAATAATGTCAGGCCAAGAAAATCTACAAGCAGGAAGCTTGCAGCAGCTTGAGTCGGTGATTCAGTCCTCATCTTCCGGGAAAGTCAGTTTGAGCCCGGAGACCCAGACCGAGCAGAATACCTCGCGCGTGAATCATGTGCAAAGTGGTAATAAATCCCGGGATTTTGTAGCAAACAACACCGAATTATCAGGTGCGGATTTATATTCTCCGATAAAACAGATTGACACCCCAGCGATACTATCCTCGCACGATCATTCTCAGTCAGGGCCAGGCTGTTCAGAACCGCGAAGGCATGCACCCAGGAGTCGGTAAGTTCTGGTTTTTCGAATCCCCTTTTCTCCTCTGCAGTCGTGTGCGCAGTTTTGGTGTATATGTAGGACCGAGGGTTTCTGAAAATGATGGCTGATAATGTTTAGGGGCATTCGTTGGGCTCCCTTGAATATCGGTCTCGAAAGACGCACGCAGACGTTCGTGGTCTTATGCCACACTTTGACAATCGCAATATTCTTAACATTTTTCTTCTTCGCTTGTGCCATACCTCTATTCTGGCCGCTGTTACTCCCATACCTAGTTTATATTTCACTTTTTTCATCGTCTGCAACGTCTGGAACGTTGAGTGGGCGTAGCGATTTCATGCGTTCGCTCCCGATATGGTCACTTTATGCCTCTTATTTTCCTGCTTGCTTGCATCGCTCCGAAGCGCTACTTCCAACACGCAAATATATATTCGGCTACCATCCACATGGCATAATTTCTCACGGTGCATTTGCAGCATTTGCTACTGAAGCACTCGGATTTTCGAGGTTGTTTCCGGGAATCACAAACACCTTACTTACCCTTGATTCGAATTTTCGAATTCCGTTCTACAGAGAATATGCTCTTGCCATGGGACTCGCCAGTGTTTCCCGGGAGTCTTGTGAAAACCTACTGTCTAAAGGTGGTGCTGACGGGGAAGGCATGGGCCGCGCGATTACAATTGTCATTGGTGGGGCTCGCGAGTCCCTGGACGCTTTACCTCATTCTCTGCGCCTTGTTTTAAAATGCCGCAAAGGATTCATAAAGCTAGCAATTCGCACCGGTGCTGATCTTGTGCCAGTACTTGCTTTCGGCGAAAACGATCTCTATGAGCAGGTGCGATCAGATCAGCATCCCATTATACACAAGCTTCAAATGCTCATTAAGCGTACGATGGGGTTCACGATCCCGCTCTTTCATGCTCGTGGGGTTTTCAATTATGACGTGGGACTGATGCCTTATCGACGTCCCTTGAATATTGTCGTTGGCCGGCCTATTCAAGTCGTTCAACAGCGTGACAGAGACAAGATCGACGAAACGTACATTGATGACCTTCATGCCAAGTATATACAAGAGCTTCGACGGTTGTGGGAGCAATACAAAGATGTCTTTGCGAAGGACCGAATCTCTGAAATTGAGATAGTTGCATGAAATGGCCTCGATTTCATCTTTTGATGCACTCCTCTTGTAAAAGAACAAGGGCCAAAGAATTAGGTTAAAAAAAAAAGAGAGAGCTTCCCGGCAAGCCTGAATAATATTCCGCCGCTGATCAAATCATCAACCACAAGTGGGCATCCTCGAAGTGATCCCCAGGAAGAGGCCTGTGACGTAATATGGTTTGAGACCATCGATCGATTACCTTCGACCTAATGACTTGACACTTCAGGTCAGGAATCAGCTTCGGGCGTCTCCAGAACATGTCGTGGTGTTTGTATGCCTACGAACTTCGTCTGGGATGACACCTGGATAATGGATGCTTCCTATCAATTCGGTCGCAGGAATCCCTCATAGCGACATTGTTCCTGCTGGCAATCCGGTGTCTCCATTGCCGCAGGTAGATCCAATCCCAAAGTAAGGTGGGTGGTGCTCTGGAGGTTTTCATGTCCAGAAATGCTAGAACAAAATCGATAGAAATTCTTGACCTACGTTCTGGTCCAGAGACAATCCTCATGCTGAGATGCCTGGTTGCCTCTGATGAATGAAGTGTTTGAATGACGGCCAACAATCCTCAATTTTGGCATCATTATATCAGGACCGATCTTCACATTCTACCATCCACTCCAACAGATTTTCTCCATACATGATGCATGCTCTTTGGTTACATTTATGGCTCTTAAATATAAATAGGAGGTTTGAATCATGCTTTAAAATGCAAAGCGAAGCTAGATTAGTTGATTCAATTTAAACGTAACTGTCTCATTAAGTCGGGTTCAAGGAAAAAGATCATGCATGGGTATCTAAATATGCAGCGAAATCATGACTACACTCACCAGCAGATGGTAGCTTCCTGATTCCATCAAGACCACCTTTGAAACACCAAGGCATAAGGCCAAAACTGGCAGCTCACACCAGTAGTCATGACCACAAACCAATGGGGAGGAACGGACACAGTATGAAGGTAACTCGGAATATTCGGGGGAGATTGTGGATAGCGGGAGCTATGGGATTCGGGCGGAGGCAAGGGGATACCAGTTGGGACAGAAGGACGAAATGGGACTCGAGCCACTGAATCTCACTCATTCACATGACATTTGTCCCGTCTTCTGAAATTGTGCTGGCTGTGTTTAACGCAGGGATACCTGCCGCCGGTTCAAGCGCTCGTTGCTTTTCATCAGCAACATGAACACTTCCACGAGATCCCTTCACTAAATGACCGCTCACCACTCTATCCTGTATCATTTCATCGAGTATGCGCGAGACTTCGTCCATGCTCTTTCCATCTGGTCCTTTCTCATCAGATTCGGGCGACGAAAGGGAACCAGCTGCACGACCATATGATGGCATAACACCGCCATTACTATTCAAAGACGCACGCTTGATTTTGGGGTCAGCAGCGCATGGGTCTGTTGTGACATGTGCGAGATCCCAGTGTCGTGCGGCAGACCGAAGTGCCGCAAGCATCCGATCCTTATCATCCAGCTGCAAGCGGAGTTCGTTGATTTCCATATCTTTCTCACGGAGCAGAGCCCTGAAGTCCGGCTCTTCTGAGGGAGCATTTACTGACTTCACACCCATAGATATCCGAGAGTGACTTGAGCGTCGGGCTTGCAGTAGGCGTCTCTCCAGCGTTGAGATATATCGATTCTTATCATTAAGATCAGCTTGTAGAGCAGCAATCTGTCTCTGGGCGCTTGCTCTTCCGTCTGCAAACTCCCCCATAATTTCGTCCTCTTCGTGTTCAAGAGGTGCATTTTGATACGGCAAAGTCGCCCACACTTCAGTGCTGTTGGTGGACAGGAAGGAAACAGGCCGGACCGATGAAAATCCGCATGCACCCAATGTTGACTGACTCACAGATGACCGTAGAGACCGAGAAATGGAGTCGGTAGTAGACATCCTAGAAAGCCGCCCGAAGGCGGCTATACCGTTATGACTATTGACTCCAGTTGATTTAGAGCAGAGGATCAGACGATTGAGATGTTCAATACGTTCCTTCAGCGCTGTTCGAGCTAGTTGCATTTCAAGCATTTGCTCCTCGTGGCGCACTTTTGCCTCTTTCTCCAATTGTTGCTCTTCCAGTTTTAACTCCTTCTCAGCTTGATCCTTTGCCTGACTCTCAAGCTGACTGCGTAGTGTTTGAATCTCCATGCGGTAGCGCTCCAGAAGAACTCGGCTGCCCGCATCGCCCCCGCCACCGCCAAAGGCTTCCTCTGCCCTCTTAGCGTGACTGACGATGCTGTTCTTGGCACGGGCGGCGAATTTCAGCGTGTTTAGAGTCTCAGTTGAAAGTGAACCCGTTGTTGCTGAGCTGCCAGACCCGTCAATCTGGATTGTACAGAGGATGCTGACAAGAGAATTCCCCGAGAGAGCCGGTTGTAGCAGCCGTGTAAGCTTGCTGTCACGATACGGAAGATGTCTGCCCTCGCGATCAGCTGAGGTTCCGCCCTTATCCTTGTTCTCCGAGAGCTTTGCGATGATCGTGCCTAATGTGAGTAAGCTTTTATTTATATGAGCACCTTCCGTCCGACGCTCTTTATCCTCTGCAGCGCGCTCAGACCCAGCCAAATCGATCAAGCTAAGGGTCGAC